TTGGGGTGCTGCTTTCCTCAGCAAGGATCCCCTTGTGGTTAAGCTGTCTCCACTGTGTTGGCTTGCAGCACTTCGGGGAGTGGGAGGGGCTTTCGGAGCAGAGGGCTCTTGGCTGGTTTAGGGTAAATCTGGTTGCACCTCGTGTTTTACCGGGTGTTGGAGCTGGCAGTGTGGCTCGCGGTGAGGGTCTGCGTTGCTGTCAGGCTGCGCATGAGGCTCTACTATATCTGCGTTTGTATGCTTGGCCACCCTTTTCTGTTGTGATTTGTTGGGGTCGGGCACTGCGAGCCCGACGGTGGGGGCCAAGCAGGCTGCAGTTTATCGTCTCCGTTTGTTGGGCATTGCAAATTTGGGCGTGCAAAAGGTGCTGGCCAATTCCATCAACGCTCTGACTGGGACCCCCGCAAGCAACAAGGTAGGTGTTCTTGCAAGCAGTGCGATTTTTCTTGAGTGGCATGAGCACAATCTCGCTTGTTCCAGGCGATCAAAACGGTGAGCGAGAAAGACTTGCAGAATTTGGCAAACATTAGCGGGCCGAACGTGACGATTGAGGATTGGATGGTTGGACTAGGGAGGTGTGGCAAGGAATGTCTGAAAGACATTCAAACCTTTGCACCGAAGTCAGACAGCCCTGTCGACCGCGTGCCGCCGCTCATGCTGTCACGGTGCATGCGTGGCGGCAAGACCACTTTCTTGGTGTATCTGTTCGAGTTGGTGAAAGCAGAGCCCGGATACCTTCCAATTTTCATAAGTTTCAACGGATTTTTTGGGATCCAGCGAAAGAGAGGCGAAAGCCGGTTGCAGACAATTCTGCGAGCCATCGCAGTCACTTTGCTGCCAGCTACTCCCACTGACACTCAGAGCGTTTCTTGTGACGAGGACACATTATGTGATCATCTCGAAAGACAAAACGGCATCATTGTACTGATGATTGACGAGCTCAACCTCCTGGTGCCAAAAGGAACAACAGACAACGAAGTGGCATCGTTTCTCCGAAGGGTCTTCCTAAGTCGAGAAAACAGGTACCTCGTGTTTACCACCCACGAGCCGTTTGATGGATCTCAAATTGCAGAATACACAGGAGGCAAGTCCCGGGCTTACTCACCAAGGGGTGTTATAGCAAGAGACCTGCCTCGGTCCGTCAATGTGACAGAACAGCGTGGCATCCCTCAATGCAGGGCGCTCTCTGCAGGTAACGTGCTTTTTTTCTCAGGTATTCCTGCGTTGCTCCGCAGTTGGAAGCAGCAGTACAGCTTCCAAGCCAGGTTCCAACAGCTCA